GAATCACAGAAACCCCCCGGCACTCCCATTCCCATTCCAGATCCCATTCCTGACCTCACTCCCATTCCAGATCCTATTCCCATTCACATTCCAGATTCCATTCCCACTGCCATTCCACATCCCAATCCCATTCCTTCTCCCATTCTCATTCCAAATCCCATCCCAGCTCCCCAGACCCCTCAAATCCCAAAATCCCAGAATTCCCTGACATTCCCACTCCCATTGTAGACCCCATTCCCATTCCTGATCTCATTCCCATTCCAGCTCCCCAGACTCCTCAAATCTCAGAATTCCAGAAACCCCTGGCATTCCCATTCCCATTCCCATTCCCGATCCCATCCCATCTCCCCAGACCCCTCAAATCCCAGAGCCCCCCGCCATTCCCGCGGTTATTCCCGGTGTTATTCCCGTTTTATTCCCGGCGGGTACCGGGCTGCTCCGGGGGCTGCAGGATCAGGATCCTCTCCTTCTGCAGGAAGTGCAGCTCCCGCGCCACGTGGCAGGCCGTCAGCGGGCTGTCCCCTGTGATCATCACCACCTGCAATTCCCAGAATTCCCAGGGGAATTCTCACTTGGATTCAGGGCTGGGAGCCCCCTCCAGAGAGGCACACCCTGCAATGTTCCCAAAACCTGTGGTTTTCCTGTTTTCCACCTGGGATTTTCCCCATTCCCCTCTTGGAATTTTCCCATTTTCAATCTGGAATTTTCCCAGTCCTCAGCCTTGGATTTTCCCCATTTTCCACTTGAAATTTTTCCGGTTCTCAGACTGTAATTTCCCAGTTTCCTGTGTGGAATTTCCCTTCCTTGTTTTCCACTTGGAATTTTCCCCTCCCTCCAGCCCCTCCCACCCCTCTGGCAATTCCTCCATTTTCCCCCCTTTCCCACCCTCCCCAAAATCCGGGAATTCCCGTCCATCCTCACGTGGTGGGAAGCGCTCTGGATCTCCCGGATCACGGCCTTGGAGTCGGCTTTGAGTGGGGAGGAGACCAGGATGAATCCCACAAATCTCAGGTCACATTCCAGGGATTCCCTCTTCATCTCCCGCACCTTTAGCATGGCAAAATCCTGGATTCAGCATTCCCAAATCCCTTCAAAAGCCAAATTCCTCCTCCCACTGGTGATTCCTGGCATTTGGAGCATCCCCTGGAATGAGTTTGGTGCTCCTAAGACTTGGAGTGATCCCAAATTCCCCAAAGAAAAAGGGTTTTCCCTGGAAAAAATTCCTTTGGGATGCTCTGAAGGGGCTCAAGAATGGGAATTTCCCTGGAAAAAGTCCCCGAAAGTCCCAAATTCCACACCAAAACCACCTCTTCTTTTCCCAACCTCTCTCCCAGCATTTCCAGGCCTGGATTTCCGGGGTTTTTCCCATTTTTTCACCTGCTGGTGGCTCAGGGCTCCCAGCTCTTTGTAGCCCAGGGCCAGGACCCGCGCGCCCTCGTGTGAGAATTCCCGATGGATCTCGTGGTAGTTGCTGGGACATTGGGATAGCTGAGGAAAAGAAACACAGAAGATACTCCATGAGTGAGGAATCTGAGGGAATTCTGGAGGGTTTTGCTGGAAAACTGGGAAAAGTGAGGAGATTTGAGGGGAAAGGGAGGGATTTGGGAGAATCTGTGGGGAATTTGAGGGAATTTAACATAATTCAGGGTCCTCCCCCTTCCATCTCTTGATCTCCCAACATTCCCAGATTCCCTGTTTTATCCTGGAATTCTCCCCTCACCACAGGGCCTGGGCACAGCTGTTTGGAACTCCTGGCATTCCCAAATCCCTGTTTTTCCCTGAAATTTCCCCTTCCTGCATGCTCTGGGACCATTTCCCCTCAGCACAGAGCGGCCGTTCGGGGCTCCCAGCACTCCCAAATCCCTGTTTTTCCCGTTTTCCCTGGTTTTCCCCCATTTTTCTGCCCTCACCATGGCGTGCAGGGTCTCAGGAGCGCCCTTGACGGCCGCCAGGTATCGGATTTCTCCGGAGGCGTTTTCCAGGGACGCCAGCACCGCCATCCTCTTCAGGGCACTGGAGAAATGAAAGCGCTGGTGAATTCTCATTCCCGGAGTTTTTAGACTCCTCGGGAAAACTTTCTCATCTGGAAACAAAGGAAATCAGGAAATCCTGAAAGGGGGTGCTGGGAGGGAAAAGGGGGAATTGGGAATGGGGTGGGGGAAAAGAGGAAATGTGGGGTGGTTTGAGGGGGATCCGGGTGGAATTCTGAGGGATTCAGGGGGAATTTGTTGGGATTCTGATGGAATTTTGGGTAATTTAGGTGGATTTCAGGCGGATTTTGGTGAGGATTTTGTGGGATTTCTTTTTGTGAGGATTTAGAGAGATCTTCGTGGAAGGGATTTGTGGGATCCTTGCGAGGATCTTGTGAAGATTTTGTGGGGTTTTGTTTGTGGGGATTTGGGCAGATTTTTGTGATAATTTTGTGGGATTTTCTGCGGGGATTCTGTGGAGTTTTTTGTGGGGATTTTAAGAGATTCTTGTGGGAATTTTGTGGTTTTTCCTGTGGAGTTTTTTGCAGGGATTTTGTGGAATTTTTAAGATTTTGTGAGACTCTTTGAAAGGAATTTTTTGCAGGAACCTGCAACCATTTTCCCTGAGCTGTTTTGAGCTTTTCCCACCCGAAACACCTCAGAATTCCAGAGAGAACTGTGGATTTGGGATTTACCTCTGGTCAGGGTCCAGTCCACGGCTGTCAGCATGGCTTTCTCCAGAGGGTCCCCCACGATGCTCCCGTCCTCCAGCTGCACCAGGGAGTGGCAGCAGGCGATGGCCCGGTGAGTCTCCAGGGGGATTTCTGACACTGGCAGCACCTCCTTGCCTTCCCTGAGGGAAAATTTGGGATTTTGGGATCGTCCCCCAGGGGTTTTTGTCAAGAGGATTGGTGGGGAGATAGGAGAAAAAGAGAGGGAAAAACTGGGTGAAACACTCAGAACTTCACAAAGAGCTCCACAAAATGTGCTGTAAAATCCCATAAAAGTCCCACAAAAAATCCACAAAAAGCAAAAAACAAATTCCCCCTAAAAATACACACATAATTCCCCAAGATGGTGCCACAAAATCCCACAAAAATCCCACAAAACCCTCACCAAAAAATCCCACAAAAAAAATCTCAAAAAATCCCAAAAACTCTTTGCACAAAATTCTCACAAAATAGCCCAAAAAAAGGTGACAAAAATCACACTAAACCCTCACACAATCCTCAAGAAGTTCCAACAAAAAATGCCACCAAAAATCCTTGTGAAATCCCAAAAAGTGTTTACAAAGAATCCCAGGATTCTGACAGATCCTGTGGGATTTTTTGTGGGAATTTTGTGGGGGTTTTTGGGGGTATATTTTGTTGGGATTTTATGGAATTTTTGCGAGGATTTTGTGGGATTTTTGTAAGGGTTTTATGGGATTATTTGGGAGGATTTTGTGGGAATTTTGTGGGGGCTTTTTTGTTGGGATTTTGTTGGATTTTTTTTGGGAGGACTTTGTGGGATTTTTGGGGAAGATTTTGTGGGATTTTGTGAGAATTTTCTGGGCTTTTTTTTAAATCTTTTTTGGGAAGATCTTTTAGACTGATTTTGGTGGAATTCCTTTTTTTATTTCTCTCTAAGATTTCGCAAAGACCTCGTGGGATTTTTTTGGGAATTTTGAATTTCCAGCCCCTTCCCCACCCCTCCCCACCCCTCCCAGCGCTCCCGCAGAGAATTCCCAGGGAGAGTTTGGCGCTCAGGACCCACCTGAGCCCGGCCACCCCTCGCACCACCAGGTGGTCGCTGGTCAGGGTCCCAGTTTTGTCGAAGCAGCAAACCTGGACCTTCCCTGCGAAGGGGATCCGGAACGGCTCCGTGCAGTACACGTCTGGAGAGGGGAAAAACAGGAATGTTGGGGGGGAAATGGGAATGTTGGGAGGAAAAACGTGGATTCTGGGGGGAAAAATGGGAATGCTGGGGGGCAAATCAGGGATTCTGGGGGGAAATGGGGGGATCCTGGGGGGAAATGGGAGGATCCTGGGGGGAAGTGCTTTTAAAAAATCCCCAAAATTAAAAAAAAATCCCCAAAACTCCCCATGGCAATCTGCTCCCTCCACCCCTCCTGCCAGCCCAGCTCCATCCCTGCTCCCTTCCCGGCATTCCCAGCATTCCCAGTATTCCCAAATGCCCCCGGGAGGGCTCACAGAGCTTGGCCAGGGCGATCAGGGAGGTGTTGACGGCCAGGGAGAGCTCGATGGGCAGCTCGGGGGGCACCACGGACGTCAGGATCAGGGCACACTCCAGGAAGAGCCGGTACTGGTTCCGCCGGGGGTCCTTGGTGCCTGGGGAACCACGGGAAAACGGGATCACAATGGGAAAAACGGGATTGAAATGGGGAAAAATGGGATCAGAAAGGGAGAAAATGGGATCAGAAAGGGGAAAAAACAGGATGAAAATGGGATTAGGGGAAAAAACTGAATTAAAATGGAGTCCGTATCAGGGAACATCACTCGGGGATCCCTCCCCCAAACCCCGGGATTCCCGGAATTCCGGGATTCCCACCCTGGATCCACACGTAGGCGGCAGCGGCGATGGCGAAGACGAGGAGGAAGAGGATGAAGATGAAGGTCTCCAGGTTATTGGCCGTGACCCTCTTCACCCCAAACAGGATCGTCCGGAGCAGCTTTCCCTGCAAAACCAGCTTTGGTCAGGAATCCCATGGAAATTCCTTTAAAATTCTGTGGGGTTCCTTCCATTGGAGCATGGAATGGGAACTCCGACTCTGGGAAAAGCCTGGAATTCTTTGGAGCTTGGGAATTCCTCCCATTCCCGACCTTCTCATTTTTCCCAAACCTTAATTCCTCCCTCCTCCCGAGCCCCATTCCCTGGAATTCCCAGGAATTCTTGGCTCACCTGGGAGGTGTTGAAGCCGGTGCGGAGGGCGTAGGCCAGGCACCCGTTATCCACGGCTGGGGAAGGAACAAATCCCAGGGAATTCCCAGGAAATCCCAAGGAATCCCCCAGGACACCCACTCAGGACATTGCTACAAATTCCCGAGGAAACCCCCAAGGAATTCCTGGGAATTGGGGTGGGAATTCCCAGGAATTTTAGGCAGGAATGTGGGAAGTGCTCCCTGAGGAGGATGATCCCTGTAGGAATTCTGGGGTGGGAATTGTGGGCTGGGAATTCCTAGGCATTTTGGGCAGGAGTCAGGGAATTGGTCCCCTTGAAGGATGGTCCCTGTGGGACATTTCCAGGGTGGGAATCCCGGGGTGGGAATCCTGGGGTGGGAATTCCAGGATGAGAATTCCAGGGTGGAAATCCTGGGGTGGGAATTCTGGGCAGGAAGGTGGGAACGGCTCCCTGAGGAGGACGGTCCCTGTAGGAATTACGGGGTGGGAATTCCCAGGAATTTGGGGCAGGAATGTGTGAATTGCTGCCTGAGGAGAACGGTCCCAGTGGGATGTTTCTGGGGTGACAATCCCGGGGTGGGAATTCCAGGGGGCAGGAATCCCGGGCTCACGTTTGAGGCCGGCCGAGGCGCGCGGCGGCGGCAGGTGCTGGATGACGCGCGTGCCCCCAAACAGGACGTGCAGGCGCCCGTCCGCGCCCACGTCCAGCACGCGCTCGGGGCTCAGCCCCTCCACCGGCTCCTGCGGGAACACGGAATTCCGGATGGGAATGGGGCAGGGGACATGGAATTCCAGGTGGGAATGGGGCAGGGGACAGGGAATTCCGGATGGGAATGGGGCAGGGGACATGGAATTCCAGGTGGGAATAGGGACAGGGAATTCCGGATGGGAATGGGGACAGGGAATTCCGGATGGGAACGGGGCAGGGGACACGGAATTCCGGATGGGAATGGGGCAGGGGACATGGAATTCCAGGTGGGAATAGGGACAGGGAATTCCGGATGGGAATGGGGACAGGGGACAGGGAATTCTGGATGGGAACAGGGACACGGATCCAGGCAATTCCAGCCAGGAATAGGGGCATGGATTCAGGGAATTCCAGCCAGGAACACACCCAGTTCCTGCTTTTCCCCCCGTTTTTCCCATTTCTTTCCCACTTCTTTCCCTGTTTCCCCAACCTTCATCTGCGGCACGGACTCCCCGGTCAGCATGGCCTCGTCCACCACGCAGCGGCCCCGCAGCAGGAGGAGGTCACAGGGCACCAAATTCTCCTGGGGGGAGCGGCCTGAGGGCAGAAATTCCAGAAATTCCCAGAACTCCCAAGCCAAACTCATCAGTTTTTCCATTTTCCCCACTCCAAAACCCACGATTTTCCCGTTTCCCCACTCGCTTTTCCAGCCCCAGATCTGTAGGAAAAGGGTTTGGAGAATGGAAAATTTGGGGGAAAAAAGCCCCTGGAATTCCTGAAATTTCAGGAATTCGGAGAGCTAAAATGTTTGATGGCAGGATGGTGGAAAAGCAGGGAATTCCAGAAAAAAAGGGGAAAATCCCCACAACAAAAACCTCAAAGTTATCCCATTCCAACCCAGAATTCCTGCAAATACCAGGAAAATTCCACAGAGATTTCCCTAAAATGAGAATTGAAATCCTCAAAATTCAATTTCATTCCAACAAAAATGAAGGAAAAAATTCCAATTTCAAGAGACTTTTCCATGAAAATCACCATTTTAAGGGCGTGTTCCATAAAAAAATCCCATTTTCCAAAATGCTTTCTATAGAAGCTCCCATTTTAAAGATGCTCTCTCGTGACAATTCCCATCGGGAATTCCCATTTTTAGGGTGTTTTTCCAGGGAATTCCTGTTTTTACCGATGGAGACGATGTCCCCCGCGATGATCTCGTCGCTGGAAATCGGGCGCCACTTCCGGTTCCTGTAGACCTGGAATTCCCAAAAAAAACCCCCAATTTTTGGGATGGAATGTGTGGGAAATCCACAGGAAAAGGGACACAAAGCAGGAAAAAAAATCCCCAAAATATCCTAAGGTCCCCCCAAAATTCCCATTTTTGGGTCAATATCAGCAGGAAAACAACAGGAAAAATCATCAAAAAAAATCAATAATCTCAATTCTGGGACAAAAAGAATCTGTGGAAAAACCATAGGAAACAGGAAAACAACTGGGCCAAACACCCCTAAAAATCCCAAAAAACCCACAAAAATCTCATTTCCTGGGATAGAATCCATGCAAAAACCACAGGAAAACAGAAAATAAAGGGCCTAAACCTCCTAAAAACCCCCATTTTGGGGCCGAACTCAGCAGCACAATCATCAAAAATGGGACCAAGAAGCCGGACCGGGACCCTGGAGCCCCCGGAATTCCGGGATTTTACCTGGATCATGTAGGGCTTGTTGCCCATCCTGCGGATCTCGGAGAGGTTGCGGAGCTGCTGCTGCACCAGGGAGGCCTCGAAGGCCACGAGCATGGACAGGGTGAAGACGCTGTAGTACCAGAACTCGTCCAGGCACCACAGCCCCACGCAGAACACCTGGAAAAACCCAGGAAAAACCACCCTGGATCCCTGGGAACGCCGGGAATGGGACAAGGGGAGCCCGAGGGGGAGCAGTGGGAAACGGGGAAACTCCGTGAGAAAAGGGAAAATCCCTCAAAAATCCACGTTGGACAGGGCAGCTCAAAGTTCCTGGAATTTCAGCCCAGGATTCCTGAAATTCCAGCCCAGAATTCCAGGGAAAAAGGGATGACAGTTATCCCAATCCAGCCCAGAATTCCTGCAATTCCAGCCCAGAATTCCTGAAATCCCAAAGGAAAAGGGACCAAAATTATTCCTGAAATTCCAGGGAGAAAGGGACCAAAACTGGCCCAATCCATCCCCGAATTCATTCCCCTGGTTTTTACAGGAATGGGAATTTTCCCTGGGTTTATTCCCATTTTTAGCAGACTTGGGCATTTCCCTCACGTTCTTTCTGGGTTTTATTCCTGATTTTTACCTGGAACACGAAGAACGGAGCCGTGGCTCTTTCCTTGAACAGCTCCAGGAATTCTGGCACCACCATTTCTGCCCTGGAAGAGGGAAAATCCTTGGAAAATCCCAGTTTTTCCAGCCAAAATATCCCCGTTCCTGATGACTTTAAACAAAAAATTGGATTTTTGGGGTTCATTCCCAGAAAACCACTCAGTCCAAAATCCCAAATCCAGAAGAAAAATCCCAGATTTTTGGGATATTTTCCAGCCTATTTTGGAATATTTAGAGACATTTTCCTGGAATATTTCACTATATTTTAGCACATTTACCTGGAATATCTGGGAATAATTTTCCAGGATATTTTGGAAAATTTCCCTGGAATATTCTCCCTGAATATTCTGGGATATTTTCTTGGGATATTTCAGCTATTTTAAGAATACTTTCCCAGCACATTCGGGAGTTTTTTTTAGGATATTTATAGATTTTTCCCAGAACATTTTGGGCTCTTTTCCCAGGATTTTCCCCCAGGAAAAACTCACTTGTTATTCCCGTATTTCCTCTCGGCCTCTCGGATTTCCTGCTCCTCCTGGAAGCCTCTGGAATTCTGGTAGAATCCCAAGGGATGCTCCACAGGGAATGCCACGGGCAGAAATTGTTTTTTCCCGTGGATTTCATAGGAATATTTGATCTTCTGGAATTCAAAGCTCAGCGCTTCCTGCCCATCCTCACCCTGGAAAAAAAAAAAAGGAAAAATTCCAGATTTCCCATTCCTGGAAAAATTCCCAGCCTGGATGGGGAAAAACAATCCCAGATTTCCAAGGGTCTCTTGGAGAAAAATCCCAATGTTTTCCAGGAGGGTTTTGCCTGGAATACCCAGACTTTCCCCACTTTCAGGGATAAATCCCAAGGAGTTCCCAGATTTTCCCATTCCCTCACAGATAATCATGAACACATTGGATTTTCCAGGTCAAATCCCACCGGAATTCCCAGATTTTCACCCCGCAGCTGGATGACCCTGAGCTCACTGGATCTCCAGGGGTGAATCCCAGTGGAATTCCTGGATTTCCCTCACCTGCTCCCTGTGGATTGGCACCAACTCCACGGAGCCATTGTTGGGGGTCGGCACCACCTTGGCCAGGGTGGCTTTTTGGGGACAGGGCTCCTGGGGGGGGGGAAACAGCAGGAAAATCCCTTCAAAACCCCTCAAAAATCCCATTTTTTATTGCCTTAAAAACCCATTTTTATCCCTTCAAAATCCCAGCTTCATACCCCAAGTATTCCAAATTTTATCCCTTTAGAATCCAATTTTCAATCACTTTAAAATCCCAATTTTTATTGCTCCAAAACCCCACATTTATACTTTGAATAACGCACATTTTATCCCTTTAATATCCCACATTTTACACTTCTAGTAACCCATATTTTATCCCTTTAAAATCCCACACTTAACGTTCCTAATAACCCATATTTTCTCCCTTTAATACCCCGTATTTCACACTCCTAACATCCCAAATTTTATCCCTTTAATATCCCACTCTTCCATATTAATACCCCACATCTCTCACAGTCAATACCCCCATATTTAACATTCCCTACTGAATACTTTAACTTAGTTTATAAGTTTATATTTCATACATTTATGCCGCAAATGCCTTTTAAACCCT